CCGTCTGGGTGGGCGCTTGAACCCAATGGTTGTTTCAGCAGCAGCTCGCATGGAGTGGGAAATGTGCGCCCAGAGTCCGCCGGCGTCAACAGGGAGAGGGATAGGTTGGTGGAGCAGTTCCGAGAGGTGAGTGTAGTAGGCCATTGCTGTCCGTTGTGTTCGCAGCCTAGTGATGTCAAGCTTTTGTTGCGTGATGGCGCGTATGTTTTTCGCTCGGCATAGCCGCATGCGTATCTTGGCTGCGACAAGATAGTGGTCCGAGTCAATGTTGACTCCACGAATCGTACGCACGTCCATCACGCTTGAGGCATGCCTTCCGTCTATCACAACGTGATCAATCTGGTTGCGCGCACACTCCGGCACGCATATACATATCCCTTTACATGGCAATAACTCCGATTTTCTTGATTTTTTTTTGTTTGGTAGATAAGTGAAAATAAAAAATACACTTCTTTTTAGTTTTTTAATTTTTTTTGGTTTGACCTTATTTTTTTACAAAAAGGGGTGTGATGCATTTCTGCATCAAATGGTCTTAAAAGGAAAATTTTTTTAATATGTGTTTTAGAAAGATAATAACAATCATTCAATATTAATATAAAGTAATTTATATTTTAAATATGCCAATTTAAATTAAATTTTTTAAAGCAATTATTTCTTTTATTAAAACATAAAAAAACTACACATTTTTCGCACTCTGTTTGGGAGAATCCAGTGAAGTTCGTATATTTGCAGTCGAGGAGAAGTGAAACACGAGTATACATCAAACAGCGAGTAGTCAAGCAAGGATACAAGCAAGGATTCAAGCGAGGACGAACACGGAGAGCAGGACGAGAAAGGATCAACGGCGTGGACGAAGGACACGAGGTTCCCAAGCAAGCAGTCTACAAGGAGCAAGATCGCTACGTCGAGACGTTTGGGACTTTAAGTTGCAAGTCTCCGAATTGAGACACAGGTAGCTGAGGTCCTGTGGGCAGCACACAAATCGAACTAGGCGTGTGTAACGACCACTGGTTGGAGACATTGAGCCTGGCGTATTGCCCGGCGGGTCCTAACCAAGTCGGCACACACGAGTCCTTATTCGAGTAAACGTGTTCTCGGTGGGGAAGGGTCAAGAACCAGACGCATATCGTAGAGTCTACCAGACGGTGATCCGGCGTACGCTTGGTCCGTCTCGTGGCGAGGGTTGCGTTTTGGTGCGACAAGCCGCTAAGAACGCGCAGTTGAGCGAAGGCGGATACGCCGAGAACCCTGCTGTGTCTGCCAGAGTCCTGGAGCAGCAGAACCCCGAGAGCCCAGGCTTGAACAGCACGGAGTAGTAGAGACTAGGGTGGAACGTTCGTCTGAACTGATCGTATCACGAGAGGATCATTCGTCGGGTACCCGGCGTACGCCTGGACCGACGGTGAGAATTGGGTGAGCGGTCGGTGGACCGGCCGGGACAGAGCAAGGGACAGGAAGTCGAGGTTGCAAAGGGCAAACGCCTGGAGAGCACGGCACCTGTTCACCCTAGTCTGAGAACGTTGACGCTTCCCGCAGCCCAGATAGTCCAACTCCCCACGTGAAACACCCGACGGCAACGATCGAGCGGGAATACTGGAGTGGCGGTCCAACCAAGGAGAAGCGTCGAGGGAAGCGTACCAAGGCGAACATTGCGGTAGAGATTCGAACCAAGAGGTGGCGTCGAGGGAAGCATACCAAGGCGAACATTGTATTAGAGGTTCGGATTAAAAGATAGAATTAACAAGTCTGAATTCGAGAAATCAACGTTGTCTTTTTATTCACTGGTGGGGCAATCACAACATATAAATTTGGAGGGACGAACAACAACTATTACTGAGCTAGCCGCACAATCCAGTAGCGAGCATAAAAGCGGCAATGAATGTTCGAGAATGTTCGAGAATGTTGCTTACATTCAGTTCGAGCACAATCATACCAACTGGTCATGCTGGTTGGTAATTCGATTCAAGCTATCGAACTATTTATTTTGTGCACTTGCTGAGAATTTGTAGTTTGATCTCCAAAATCACAGTAAAAACTATGGAAATGGTTTTGTAAGTCAATCTATTGTTTTTAATTATTGTTTTTAAAGCGATTAAGATTGATATTTTTACTTTATTTTTAAGTTTTTTTATCTCAGTGAAGTTTGTGCTCTTTAATATTTGAAGCACTAATTTTGTTGATTAATTTAAGAATTAATTCTATTTTAATTTTGAGCTTTAATAATGAAGAAATAAATGAAGTTTTGTATTTTGATTAAATTAATGCCAACCAACCATCAGTTTGAATCAGTAAGCAGAACACTCAAATAAATGGTTCGAACTCGGTAATTATACGAAGCCGTTTTTGTTTTATTCGTCGCATCAGGTCATTATTATTATTAGGTGGCACTACAACCTGATTCGGGTTTTGGCCGACCTCAGCGTCTCCCTCCAGGCGCCTCTGCTCCTCGCGCGCCTCCTCCAATCGGAAATACTCAGTGCAGTCAGGTTCTCCTCCACTTGGTCCTTCCATCGGAGCTTTGGTCGTCCCCTTCGTCGTCGCCCGTAGTCGATCCTCGCTTCAAACACCTTCCATACGCACAACGTGGCCGAGCCAGTGCAGACGTTGTATCGTGATGCGCCGGACCACGTCCACGTACAACTCGTACAGCTCGTGGTTCATCCGAATGCGAAAGTCGTCCCCAATCCGAACGGGACCAAAGATCTTGCGAAGAATTTTTCTCTCGAACACTCCAAGCGCTGCTGCATCCGTCAGTGATATTACCCATGCTTCTGCGCCATATAATAGCACGGGTAGGATGAGTGTCTTATAGAGTGTTAATTTTGTACGGCGAGAGAGGTCTCTATTGCACATTTGCTTACTCAGACCAAAGTAGCACCTATTGGCAAGTGTGATTCTTCGCTTGATCTCCAGGCTGACGTCATTTTCGGTGTTAATGGCAGTGCCAAGGTACGTGAACTCCTTGACCACTTCGAAGGTATAGCTGTCCGCTACCACATGGGAGTCTGGGCGCCGCGCCTCCCTGCTTGTAGACAGCATATACTTCGTCTTGCCCTCGTTTACCGCCAAACCCACTTTTGCCGACTCTTTTTCGATAGCCGAAGATGCAGCAGTGACATCACGCTTGCTGCGGCCAATGATGTCAATATCATCGGCATACGCAAGGAGCTGTACACTTTTATAAAAAATAGTGCCAGATCGATGTACACCGGCTTTCCGCAGTACCCCTTCCATCATGAAGTTGAAGAGATCGCACGACAGGGGGTCGCCTTGTCTGGAACATCGAACGGTATTAAAAGGTTCAGAGAGGTTCGTTCCTACCTTGATAGAGCTGATGGTGCTGCTCAATGTCATTCTGCAAAGACGTATTAGCTTTGCAGGAATACCGAACTGAGACATGGTGGCATATAGGCGTTTCCTCGTCGGGCTGTCGAATGCAGCTTTATAATCGACAAAGAGATGGTGTGTGTCGATGTTATTCTCGTGGTTTTTTTCAAGGATTTGGCGTAATGTGAAGATCTAGTCTATGGTGGACTTACCAGGTCTGAAGCCGCACTGATAAGGTCCAATCAGTGTGCTGGTATACGGCTTCAGTCGTTCACATATTACGCTCGATAGGACCTTGAATGAGATGGTAATTAGGCTGATTCCCCGGTAATTGGCGCATATCGTCGGGTCACCTTTCTTCAGTACAGGACAAAGGACGCTGAGATTCCAATCGTTGGGCATGCTTTCTTCTAGCCTTATTTTGCACAAGATCTGATGCATGCACCTTATCAGCTCTTCGCCGCCGGCCTTGAACAACTCTGCAGGCAGTCCATCAGCACCGGCTGCTTTGTTGTTTTTGAGCCGCGTTATAGTAACTCGGACCTCGTCATGGCTAGGTAGTGGTATATCCACATTGTCGTCGATTGGTGGTATCGGGCTGCTTCCTCCAATGGCGGGATTGGTGCCGTCATCGCCTGCTAGCAGCTTGGAGAAATGCTTCCTCCATAACCTCAGCGTGCACTGCGTATCCGTAACCAGATTTCCATTTTCATCCCGACAGTTAGATGCTCCGGTCTTGAAACCTTGTGTCAGACGGTTGACTTGTTGGTAGAATTTTCGAACATCATTCCTGTCTTGTAACACCTCAAGTTCCTTGCACTCTCGCTTTTCTTGCTCCCGTTTTTTCCGTCTGAAAAGTCGCCTCTCTTCCTTCCTTTTCTCCCTGTAACGTTCACACTTAGCTCGCGTTGCGCCAGACTGCAGCGTTTTTCTGTTGGCGGCGTTTTTTGCTGCAGCTGCGACGCGTCACTCCTCGTCATACCATTGGTTCCGTCTGGGTGGGCGCTTGAACCCAATGGTTGTTTCAGCAGCAGCTCGCATGGAGTGGGAAATGTGCGCCCAGAGTCCGCCGGCGTCAACAGGGAGAGGGATAGGTTGGTGGAGCAGTTCCGAGAGGTGAGTGTAGTAGGCCATTGCTGTCCGTTGTGTTCGCAGCCTAGTGATGTCAAGCTTTTGTTGCGTGATGGCGCGTATGTTTTTCGCTCGGCATAGCCGCATGCGTATCTTGGCTGCGACAAGATAGTGGTCCGAGTCAATGTTGACTCCACGAATCGTACGCACGTCCATCACGCTTGAGGCATGCCTTCCGTCTATCACAACGTGATCAATCTGGTTGCGCGCACACTCCGGCACGCATATACATATCCCTTTACATGGCAATAACTCCGATTTTCTTGATTTTTTTTTTGTTTGGTAGATAAGTGAAAATAAAAAAATACACTTCTTTTTAGTTTTTTAATTTTTTTTGGTTTGACCTTTATTTTTTTACAAAAAGGGGTGTGATGCATTTCTGCATCAAATGGTATTAAAAGGAAAATTTTTTTAATATGTGTTTTAGAAAGATAATAACAATCATTCAATATTAATATAAAGTAATTTATATTTTAAATATGCCAATTTAAATTAAATTTTTTAAAGCAATTATTTCTTTTATTAAAACTGTTCGCGCCAGAGCGGCGCTTTCCAGTCCTTTTTGAACCGCCCCTGGAGTCTTAACAGTCGTGAGAGCAGTTCTTCCAGATCACTTGCATCTCGCTCTCTGGCTCTGTTAAGGGTCTCCAATCCGCTCTCGGAGCGGCTCAAAAAGTTTCCACCCCGTAGTTTAAGTTAGTTCTAATTTCCAAGTGTACGAGTGAAGTCGCAGAAATAAAGTGAAGTTGTTTTTATAACGTTTAAACGAAAACTTGCCCGCGTTCTTAATTCTACCCCAAACCCAAAATCGAGAAGGAAGGAAGACCCGCCGTATTTCACCCCAACATTTTGATCCATCGACCGGATTTTCAACAACTACCAGCGACCACACCGGCGGAGTTTTTTTTAAAGTTCAAGATAAGTACGAATTTTCCATATTTCCGTGCCGACCAGTCAGATATTTCCCAAGATCCCAATTTTCTTATATCTGTCTGATCGGCTAATTCCATTTGTGCATACGATCGCCATATTCCGGCTTCTTTTTCGTATTGCTATTTCCACCTTTATACGATCGCCATATTCCGGCTTCTTTTTTCGTATTGCTATTTCCACCTTTATACGATCGCCATATTCCGGCTTCTTTTTTCGTATTGCTATTTCCACCTTTATACGATCGCCATATTCCGGCTTCTTTTTTCGTATTGCCATTTTCCGGCTTTGCTCTCCTTATATTTCCCAATTTACATACATACATAAACACATAAAATCCAGATGCATGCATATTGATGTACGTACATATGCCTGACCATCTCAACATATGTATGTACATACGTAAGGAGAAACATTTACACACTACATTCGCGGTATATCCAGCTAACATTTCGAGAACGACATTTACAATACAGTCCACATTATATACAATTTCCAAAATTACAGCAAAAAGTGCAAAGAGAAATAAAAATAAATCCGAAATAAAAATTATTGTGTGGGAAAATATATTTTCCAGTGTGTGTATTCCAAGTGCATTTACATAAGCAGCAAGCAAGGAACGAAAGCTCTGCATATGTGCATTGCATGCGTCCAGCATTAAAATCAAAGAGCAATATTATAAATAAAGAGTGTTGTGCGTGAGCTGGGGCAAGCATATTTTCGTTGCCCACTGTGTTTCATTCCAAGTGCTTTTGACATCCAAGTATATATACATATGTACACGCACATATGTATGTCAAAGCCCAAATAATTATAGTGACACATATCAATCCATACACACATATCCATACATACAATCATATATCCCAAATGCATGCTTATTAATGTACGTACGTACATATGCCCGTAACGTAAGGCGGTACACCCAACAAATATTTCAAAAGCGACATTTACAACATAGCCAATATCATTTATAATTTATAAATAAAATATAAAATATAATAAAAACAATTTATTATATATTATATATATTGCAAAATAACCCGATTCCACCGAACACAATTTATTATATTATACATATTGGAAAAATATCCTGAGTCCACCGAACACAATTTATTATATTATACATATTGGAAAAATATCCTGAGTCCATCGAACACTATTTATTATATTATACATATGGGGAAATTTCCTGATTCCACATCAACACTATAAGCCGTTCCAACTTTTGCATGATATTTATTTCAGCAGCGCTATTTCGCACACGCCGTCGGCACACATCCATTAAATAAATAATAAATAAATAAATCCTTTTTGTGTAAGCCGTGGCGGTGCGAATCGTATTTATTTCCATATTCCTTGCGATCATTTCCGCAGCTCAAAATCCAACTGCAAATATTTTGCAAAACATTTTTTGGTCGAATTTTTTGATATTTTGCTCGCACATCATAGCAGTGGTTCCAAAAAACAAAACTTTTAATTGGTACAACTGTTCCGTTTCCACATATTCCAAAAATAGACCGGAGCTGCAACGCTAAGAACGAACACAAGCGGACCGCTTGCAATTGTCTATCACGAGGAATCGAAGCAGCCACTGCGCTTTATTAATTTTTTTTGTTTGTTTTCTTGAATCAAAATCAAATTAATTCCATACGTTTTTTGTCGCGTCGCATACATTGACATTGTTGACATTCCGCTATTAGAATTTTCGATATTTGGAGCCGCACCTGTATTGATCGGAAGTTATCGATTCCATCCTTCCGTTTCCTTTCAAATACACCCCGGTGATCCGCAACAGCGGAACCACATTCCAGTACAGACTTTTCCGGAGTGTCAAATTACCACAAAGCCAGCCAGGGTTGCCTAGTTAATCTGATTTCGGGAATGCCAGAAGACAAAACAAAGTTATCGGTTCCGTCTGCAAATAAAACGCGATCGCTATCCGCTTCTCCTCGCGCGCGCACCTCAAGCGCAGTAGTTCCGACATCAATAACCAAGGCAAAGAGCGAAACTTCATTAGACACCCAAGAGGGCGAAAAGAAGTTGTCTGTTCCTACGAGCAATCCGAAACGATTGTCGCTCACGCCTAAGGTTAGGTCACAGATCCAGACCAAGTCCGTAAAGTCGCTGGCAACTCGTTCTCAGGCAAAAATGAGCAACGACATTGCAATTGCAGCCCTCGCGCGGTTCATAACGGTGTCTGACCGCATGAGCAATTTCAGAGCGACCATAGAAACTCCAGGGCCGTCAGCTCCGTCCGTCCACACCTGCAAAGTCCGTAAGGAACAAGTCCGCTCACTCTGGGAAAAGGCCGAAAAAGAATTCGAAGCGTGTTTAGACACGATTTCCAGCATTACGACTGAAGGAGCGGAGGAGATTCTGGCGACTCTGCATCGAAAATATGAATATTGCTATTCGGTGTACGAGGAGCTATCAGTTCATCTCAGCGAGCTGATGGACCAAGCCACTCCGCAGCAGTCGACAGCGAGCACCACTAATCAGTCCGCTTACATTTCGTCTGGGTGCCGGTTACCACCATGCGATACAGAAGTATTCGAAGGAGATTACCTAAAATGGCCAACATTTAGGGACCTTTTTACAGCAGTCTATGTCAACAATCCTAGGTTGACACCGGTCGAAAAGCTTTTCCATCTCAATGCTAAAACTAGCGGCGAGGCTAAAGCAATCGTAGCCAAGTCCCCTCTCACAAATGAGGGTTTCGACTCAGCATGGGCAGCGCTTCGAGACCGTTTCGAAAATAAAAGACTGCTAGTAAACAGCCAACTCAAACTCCTGTTTAACTTGGCGTCCGTCAGTTCCGAATCAGGCCAGGCTCTGAAAGATCTTCAGAGCACAATCCAAGGGTGTTTGGTCGCTCTGGCTCATTCCAAAATTTCCACAGAGAATTGGGACTGTCTCCTAGTATTCCTGTGCGCCAGTAGATTACCGAAACTGACTCTCTCCTTATGGGAGCAGTCCCTTTCATCGAAGTCCGACATTCCGACTTGGGATGAGATGAACACGTTTCTTGGTGATCGATACCGAACGCTAGAGGCGATTGAGGACATGAAACCAAGTCACAGCAATCACTCTACCACTAAGAGTCAACCCGTCTCCAGGAGGCTCAACTCCTTCGAAGCTAAAGTGGTTTCCAAACCGAAGAATTGCGATCTGTGCTCAAAGGAGAATCATCCAGTCCGCTTATGCCAGCGTTTTCTCCAGATGTCTGTCGATGCGCGGACCAACTACATCAAGAAGAAACAGCTGTGCCTAAATTGTTTCGCGAGAGGCCATCAGCTACGTGAATGTACGAGCACTCACAGCTGTTTCACATGTCGAGCTCGGCACCATACGTTGCTCCATAAAGGCAACCCCAATTCCAGTGGGTCAGCTACGGGAAATATTTCTTCTGCAAGCCCACAAAATCCAACTGTACAGAGGGCCGCCAACGCTTCAGAAAATCTGCCCGGTGTGCAGAATTATTTCGCAACCGGTGCCAGAGCGGTTTTACTAGGTACGGCCATCATTGACATTTGCCACTTGGGTACGAACTACAGGGCTCGCGCTCTAATAGACTCGGGGTCTGAGGCTACGTTTATTACGGAACGCCTGTTCAATTTAATTAAGCTGCCATTCCGCCTCATCCAAGCCCAAGTTTCGGGCTTAAATAAGACCATTTCCGCTCAGGCGACCAGGCTCTGCCATTTTTCGATTCGAGCTCCTAATAAGCCAGGCCTTCAGCTAGAAACCGCAGCTTACGTTCTGCCTGAATTGGCCGGAACGCTACCGTCCTATCCGATCCCACGAGATGCGCTGAGTGATTTACCTGCTATCCCCCTGGCAGATCCTACATTCCTCGAGAGCTCCCAGATAGATGTTCTGATCGGAGCCGACATGTTACCATCCGTTCTGCTGAGCGGCATGCGCACAAACATTTGTGGCTCTCTCCTAGGTCAAGAAACTATTTTTGGCTGGGTGCTTACCGGCCCAGTTTCAAGTACATCTAGTCAGAATCGAGTATCCGCTTTCACGACCCAGATAACCGAAACGAGTGACAGAGTCTTAGAAAAACTTCTCACTAAGTTTTGGGAGGTGGAGAATATACCCACTAAAAGGGTAAAGGACTCCGATTCCTATTGCGAAAACAATTTTCTCCAAACGACCACTAGAGACGCAAGCGGGAGATACGTAGTATCTTTACCATTTCGCGAGCCTGAAAATCTCGGGTCCCAATTGGGGCACTCGCGATCCAGTGCCCTAGCTCAGTTTCTTAGAAACGAAAACCGTTTGAAAAGAGACTTTCCATTAAAAGAGCAGTATGACTCAGTCATTCAAGAGTATTTGGATCTGGGTCATATGAGAGAAATTCCCCCGTCGTACGATTCTCCAAACTATTACCTGCCACACCACGCGGTGATCAAACCCGAGAGCACTACCACCAAACTTCGCGTGGTATTCAATTCTTCTAGCCCTTCATCCAATGGGACAAGCTTGAACGACATTCTGCATGCTGGTCCAGTCCTACAATCTGATTTAACCATTCAGATATTGAAGTGGCGTTATTTCCAGTACGTGTTCAGCGCAGATATCACCAAGATGTACCGTCAAATCTGGGTCGACCCCAAACATACGCCGTTCCAGAGAATCTTATTCCGGAATAAAGAAGGAGAAGTAAGCGATTTCGAGTTAAAAACAGTCACCTTTGGTGTGAACTGTGCACCATTTCTGGCACTCCGCGTACTCCAACAATTGGCAGACGACGTAGAAAAGGACTTCCCTACAGCAAGCAACATTATTCGTCACTTTATGTACGTAGACGACGTTCTGGCAGGGACCACTTCCATACAAGAGGCTCGACTGGCGATCAGCGAACTTCGCCACGCTTTCAGCAGCGCAAGGTTCCCATTGAGAAAGTGGACGGCCAACCAGAAGAGCATACTCGAAGACATCCCAAACGAGCATCTACTCCACGAGGACTTTCGCGATCTTCATTCCGAAAGCTTTGCCAAAACACTGGGCGTTCGGTGGAATGCGACCTCGGACGAGTTCTGTTTTGTTCCACCGCCAGTATCGATTAAATCCACTCATACAAAGAGAGAGGTTCTTTCCCAAATTGCGAAGCTTTTTGACCCAGCCGGATGGCTGTCTCCGTTTATTGTCCGCTCAAAAATCTTTATACAAGAAATTTGGTTGCAGGAGTTGGGCTGGGATGAAAATATTCCCACAGAAATGGATCAAAGATGGCAAGATTTTTTGCGCAGCTATTCCGAGCTTGAGCAGATCCGCATTCCAAGGTGGGTTGGTTTCCAGCCAGGAGTGAAGGTAGAGCATCACGGGTTTTGTGATGCGTCTCAGAAGGCTTATGGGGCCGCTATATACTTGCGGGTGGAAGTAGGCCACAACATTATGACACGTCTGCTTACCGCCAAAACCCGAGTCGCCCCTGTTAAAACGGTGTCCCTTCCACGGCTCGAGCTGTGTGGGGCATTGCTGTTGTCAGAGATGATTGCAGCTATCCTTCCGAATATGCCAATTTCCAATTCCGACATTTTCTGCTGGACCGATTCCACCATCGTCCTTGCATGGTTGAGCAAGCCGGCATGCCACTGGACCACGTTTGTCGCCAACCGGGTGACAAAAATTACTCAGGTGACGAGCGCTGAGCATTGGGCGCATGTGCGATCCGAGCACAATTCCGCGGACCTGGCCAGTCGAGGCGTTTCGCTGCGGGAGCTGGTTCATAGCCAACTCTGGTGGGAAGGACCGGACTGGTTGCAACAGCCGAAGGACATGTGGCCAACACGGGAGCTAAGACCTCCAGTCACAGACATAGAGCAGCGTGCTGTGAAGGTCAATTTCGCCAAGGCCCCATCCGAAGATTTTTTGGAACGTTTCTCCGCGTTGGACAAGGCTCTGCGGGTCCTTGCGTACGTAATACGGTTCACTCAACGCTGCCGCAAGATGCCGAGGGACGCTGCTGAGCGACCCACCAAGGAAGAGGTCCAAGAAGCTGAAAGAGTCCTTATTCGAAATGCTCAGCGGGGAGAATATACCCAAGAGCTCAAAGTCCTAAACGATAAGCGTCCGATTCCAGTTTCCAGCCCGATAGCCAACCTGTTTCCATTTCTAGACCAACAAGGCCTGTTAAGGGCATGTGGGCGCATTACGGCCTCAACGGCCCTCCAGTACGACGAGCGGCATCCTATTATACTGCCATACAACTGTCGGTTAGCTCGTCTTCTCGTCCTTTTTCACACCAGATTTCCCTGCATGGCGGCAACCAACTAGTGGTACGCCTCATCCGATCGAAGTATTGGATTCCTAAAATCAAAAATCTGGTAAAAGCGGTGCTGAATTCCTGTAAGGTGTGTACTATTTACAGGAAGAGAGTCCAGACGCAATTGATGGGCGATCTCCCTACCGATCGAGTTTCCTTTTCCAGGCCATTCACATATACGGGCATGGATTATGCAGGCCCGTTTGAGATTAAAAACTATACGGGCAGAGCATGCCTTATTACCAAGGGATATGTCTGCGTGTTTGTGTGTTTTTCCACGAAGGCTATCCATTTAGAGCCTACCTGACAACGGAGAAGTTCCTCGCAGCATTTGCCCGATTCGTCGCAAGAAGAGGTTGTCCTCAGCGAGTCCATTCGGATAATGGCAAAACCTTTGTGGGGGCAGCGACTCTACTTTCTAGAGATTTCATGCAGACGATCAAGGAGTCTGTAGCTGGAACCTATAGCCATCAGGGACTTGTGTGGCGGTTCATTCCACCAGGGGCTCCACATATGGGAGGATTGTGGGAGGCTGGAGTAAAGAGCTTCAAGGCACTCTTTTACAAGTCGACGTCAAGTCGGAAGTACACGTTTGAAGAGTTCGCCACACTTCTCGCCAAAGTTGAAGCCTGCCTTAATTCCAGGCCGCTGTCTCCCATGTCCGAAAATCCATCTGAGTTATTGGCATTGACGCCAGGCCACTTTCTGATTGGGGGACCTTTGCTTTCCACAGCTGAGCCTGAAATTAAGGGCGATGCTCAGTCGATTATAAATCGCTGGCAGCACTTAAAGGCCCTACATCAGCAGTTCAGTGCGCGATGGAAGGAGGAGTACTTGAAGGAACTTCACAAGCGCAATAAGTGGCAGACTCCTTCCAGAGATATCCAAGTCGATGACATGGTGGTCGTCAAAGAAGACAACATGCCATCAAACGAATGGCGGCTCGGCAGAGTTGTATCTGTTCTTCCAGGAGCCGATAGTAGAGTTCGCGTAGTTGAGATCCGTACTGCTCGAGGGACTATAACACGTCCCATCCACAAACTAGTACTTCTTCCTATGGAGGACAAGGCAACCTCCGCCTTTCCAAAATAATGCATTCTGTCCTCCTTCTAGCACTTCTTTCTATGGAGGCCAAGGCAACCTCCGCTTTTCCAAACTAGTGCCTTCTGTCCTTATGCTTCAAAATCCGTCCACAATTGATACTAAGTTCGCTTATATTTTTTTAGTAAAGCATCGATACCATGGCTCCACGTCCTCGCAGCGCCCAAACTTTGGACGACAGACGATCCCGAGGTACTCGATCCTACCGCTGCCGAGTCTGTCGGGGAATCCATCCGCTACGGAAGTGCAGCCGTTTCCTCAGGCTCAGCACGGAGAAGCGGCTCCGCGCCGTTCTCATAAATAAATATTGTGCGAATTGCCTGGCGCATCAGCACTCCGGAGGGCAATGTCGCAGTGGCGACGCATGCAAAAAATGCGGGAAGGATCACCACACGCTGCTCCACCTGCACGAGATGCCAAGGAGTCCTCGACGAACGCCCATCCAGCCACGCCGCCAGTCGCCTTCCCCTCAACGCCGTCCATCGCCCTTCGAGCAACGTCGCGCATCGACCGTTCGCCTGTCGAGATCAGTCTCCCGGTCTCCGTCACCACCAGCAAGGCAGGCACTGGTACGACGACCAGCTCCAGCGGCAACTCCATCCGTAGCGGCTCTAGCGCAGCACCAGAGCCTCCACATTCTCCCGACGGCCATCGTGTTGCTGGAATCTGGGACCACCACCTTCGAGACGGCCGCATTGATCGACCCGTGCACTCCCGTCAGCACCATCGACAGCTCCCTGGCAACTGCCTTCAAGCTCCCCACGACGACAGTGGGGGGTGAGGAGGTCTGCTCGACGACGATCCGGTCGAGAACGGGCGATTTCCAGATCGAGGTGCTCCTGAAGATCAGCCCGAAGCTACGCATCCGTACCCCGATCCGCGCGCTGACTGAAGATATGCGAGCCCAGTTCAACGATATCCGTCTTGCCGATGAGCAATTCCATCGCCCAGCAACAGTCTCGCTGGTGTTGGGCTCAGACGTATACCCCGACGTCATCCGGCCCGGGTTCCTAAATATACGAGATGGGCTGCCCGTCGCACAGAGCACGGTATTTGGATGGGTCGTATCTGGAGCATGCAGATACGCCTAATCCGTTGCTTCGCTCGTCCTCGCAAGGGGGGAGAATGTTCGCGCCAGAGCGGCGCTTTCCAGTCCTTTTTGAACCGCCCCTGGAGTCTTAACAGTCGTGAGAGCAGTTCTTCCAGATCACTTGCATCTCGCTCTCTGGCTCTGTTAAGGGTCTCCAATCCGCTCTCGGAGCGGCTCAAAAAGTTTCCACCCCGTAGTTTAAGTTAGTTCTAATTTCCAAGTGTACGAGTGAAGTCGCAGAAATAAAGTGAAGTTGTTTTTATAACGTTTAAACGAAAACTTGCCCGCGTTCTTAATTCTACCCCAAACCCAAAATCGAGAAGGAAGGAAGACCCGCCGTATTTCACCCCAACAAAAACATAAAAAAACTACACATTTTTCGCACTCCGTTTGGGAGAATCCAGTGAAGTTCGTATATTTGCAGGATTTTTTTATGTGTTAAGCGACTTTGATGCATTTCTGCAACAAAGCGAAATTGTTGATTTATTCGTATTATAATGCAACAATCACAAAAACTCGACAAGATATAACTAAATATAATATTTACTTGTTTAAAAATTTAATTAAATCAACTACACATTTTTTTTTTGTTATTTATATTTGGATGAGAAACTGCACAACCAATTCAGATTTCCACATTCACCAAATTGGCGAGAAAAGTAATCAGCTGTTGAGTATTGGACAGAATTCTGACTGACTAACACTTGTTATATAAAAAACGAAAGTTTCTGAACTGCACTAAAAAGATTTCAGACAGTTTTGCAATGCCCGTTGAAAAATAATTGAATTTGAACGGTATGATGCAGATATGCATCACCACCATGTAAAGGGATATATATATAGGGTGCGCCATCTCGAGCTTCGATATGAAAATATTGAATAACTTTGGAAAACAACAAAAATTCATGGAAAATGTTTTATGTTTATTTAGATTGATCCTTTACAATTCATTTGAGTTAGTTTTTGAAGGGTCTAGAAAATTTCTGGTTTCAGCAGGACGGGGTCCCATGTCACACAGCGAACGAAACCATGGAGTTTTTGCAGCGAAATTCCCTGGATGCGTTGTGTCAAAAAGGGCCATATCGACTGGCCGGCGCGTTCGCCGGACTTGACCCCGCCGGATTTCTTTTTGTGGGGTATACATAAGCAAGCTCTAGACCATCACAGATCTCAAGGAGATTATTCGCACCGAAATGGCCAATATATCGGCCGATATGCTCAAGAAAGTAATGGAAAATGCTCGAAAAGGACACTTTTTGCCATCAAGAACAAAGGAAGTCACTTAGTCAATATTGCGTTAAAAACTAACTCAAATGAATTGTAAAGAATCAATCTAAATAAACGTAAAACATTTTCCATGAATTTTTGTTTTTTTCCAAAGTTATTCCATATTTTCATACCGAAGCTCGAGATGGCGCACCCTGTAGTTGGACTTGGAAATTATGCGAAGCCAATATGGCGATCGCATATATATGTATGAAAATTCGTGCTTATCTTTGAACGAAATAAAATCCACCGGTGAAGCTGATCTTTTAACCTGATCTGGCTCGTCTGGACCAAAATGTACGTAGGGGGGGTGGCTTCCTTCTGAAGAAAAAGGCACTCGACCGAAAAATGACTTGCGTCGCGGGAATAATGAAAACTTGGGTTGAACTTGAAAAAATGCACTTTATTGAACTAGGTCAGTTTTTACACTGGTTGGGTGTAAATGCAGGAGAGGGCGGGAGAGCAGTGTGGAGACAATTAACAGACCGATAGAGCGAGATGAGAGTGAATCTGGAGAAAACTGCTCTCTGGTCTGTTAACTGTTTCACTGCCATAAAAAAGTGTCCCGTCTTGGCGCGGACATCCCCACTTGGTTTTTAAAGGCCTGAATTTTTCTCTCGAACACTCCAAGCGCTGCTGCATCCGTCAGTGATATTACCCATGCTTCTGCGCCATATAATAGCACGGGTAGGATGAGTGTCTTATAGAGTGTTAATTTTGTACGGCGAGAGAGGTCTCTATTGCACATTTGCTTACTCAGACCAAAGTAGCACCTATTGGCAAGTGTGATTCTTCGCTTGATCTCCAGGCTGACGTCATTTTCGGTGTTAATGGCAGTGCCAAGGTACGTGAACTCCTTGACCACTTCGAAGGTATAGCTGTCCGCTACCACATGGGAGTCTGGGCGCCGCGCCTCCCTGCTTGTAGACAGCATATACTTCGTCTTGCCCTCGTTTACCGCCAAACCCACTTTTGCCGACTCTTTTTCGATAGCCGAAGATGCAGCAGTGACATCACGCTTGCTGCGGCCAATGATGTCAATATCATCGGCATACGCAAGGAGCTGTACACTTTTATAAAAAATAGTGCCAGATCGATGTACACCGGCTTTCCGCAGTACCCCTTCCATCATGAAGTTGAAGAGATCGCACGACAGGGGGTCGCCTTGTCTGAAACATCGAACGGTATTAAAAGGTTCAGAGAGGTTCGTTCCTACCTTGATAGAGCTGATGGTGCTGCTCAATGTCATTCTGCAAAGACGTATTAGCTTTGCAGGAATACCGAACTGAGACATGGTGGCATATAGGCGTTTCCTCGTCGGGCTGTCGAATGCAGCTTTATAATCGACAAAGAGATGGTGTGTGTCGATGTTATTCTCGTGGTTTTTTTCAAGGATTTGGCGTAATGTGAAGATCTAGTCTATGATGGACTTACCAGGTCTGAAGCCGCACTGATAAGGTCCAATCAGTGTGCTGGTATACGGCTTCAGTCGTTCACATATTACGCTCGATAGGACCTTGAATGAGATGGTAATTAGGCTGATTCCCCGGTAATTGGCGCATATCGTCGGGTCACCTTTCTTCAGTACAGGACAAAGGACGCTGAGATTCCAATCGTTGGGCATGCTTTCTTCTAGCCTTATTTTGCACAAGATCTGATGCATGCACCTTATCAGCTCTTCGCCGCCGGCCTTGAACAACTCTGCAGGCAGTCCATCAGCACCGGCTGCTTTGTTGTTTTTGAGCCGCGTTATAGTAACTCGGACCTCGTCATGGCTAGGTAGTGGTATATCCACATTGTCGTCGATTGGTGGTATCGGGCTGCTTCCTCCAATGGCGGGATTGGTGCCGTCATCGCCTGCTAGCAGCTTGGAGAAATGCTTCCTCCATAACCTCAGCGTGCACTGCGTATCCGTAACCAGATTTCCATTTTCATCCCGACAGTTAGATGCTCCGGTCTTGAAACCTTGTGTCAGACGGTTGACTTGTTGGTAGAATTTTCGAACATCATTCCTGTCTTGTAACACCTCAAGTTCCTTGCACTCTCGCTTTTCTTGCTCCCGTTTTTTCCGTCTGAAAAGTCGCCTCTCTTCCTTCCTTTTCTCCCTGTAACGTTCACACTTAGCTCGCGTTGCGCCAGACTGCAGCGTTTTTCTGTTGGCGGCGTTTTTTGCTGCAGCTGCGACGCGTCACTCCTCGTCATACCATTGGTTCCGTCTGGGTGGGCGCTTGAACCCAATGGTTGTTTCAGCAGCAGCTCGCATGGAGTGGGAAATGTGCGCCCAGAGTCCGCCGGCGTCAACAGGGAGAGGGATAGGTTGGTGGAGCAGTTCCGAGAGGTGAGTGTAGTAGGCCATTGCTGTCCGTTGTGTTCGCAGCCTAGTGATGTCAAGCTTTTGTTGCGTGATGGCGCGTATGTTTTTCGCTCGGCATAGCCGCATGCGTATCTTGGCTGCGACAAGATAGTGGTCCGAGTCAATGTTGACTCCACGAATCGTACGCACGTCCATCACGCTTGAGGCATGCCTTCCGTCTATCACAACGTGATCAATCTGGTTGCGCGCACACTCCGGCACGCATATACATATCCCTTTACATGGCAATAACTCCGATTTTCTTGATTTTTTTTTTGTTTGGTAGATAAGTGAAAATAAAAAATACACTTCTTTTTAGTTTTTTAATTTTTTTTGGTTTGACCTTATTTTTTTACAAAAAGGGGTGTGATGCATTTCTGCATCAAATGGTATTAAAAGGAAAATTTTTTTAATATGTGTTTTAGAAAGATAATAACAATCATTCAATATTAATATAAAGTAATTTATATTTTAAATATGCCAATTTAAATTAAATTTTTTAAAGCAATTATTTCTTTTATTAAAACATAAAAAAACTACACATTTTTCGCACTCCGTTTGGGAGAATCCAGTGAAGTTCGTATATTTGCAGTATTTTTTTATGTGTTAAGCGACTTTGATGCATTTCTGCAACAAAGCGAAATTGTTGATTTATTCGTATTATAATGCAACAATCACAAAAACTCGACAAGATATAACTAAATATAATATTTACTTGTTTAAAAATTTAATTAAATCAACTACACATTTTTTTTTGTTATTTATATTTGGATGAGAAACTGCACAACCAATTCAGATTTCCACATTCACCAAATTGGCGAGAAAAGTAATCAGCTGTTGAGTATTGGACAGAATTCTGACTGACTAACACTTGTTATATAAAAAACGAAAGTTTCTGAACTGCACTAAAAAGATTTCAGACAGTTTTGCAATGCCCGTTGAAAAATAATTGAATTTGAACGGTATGATGCAGATATGCATCACCACCATGTAAAGGGATATATATATAGGGTGCGCCATCTCGAGCTTCGATATGAAAATATTGAATAACTTTGGAAAACAACAAAAATTCATGGAAAATGTTTTATGTTTATTTAGATTGATCCTTTACAATTCATTTGAGTTAGTTTTTGAAGGGTCTAGAAAATTTCTGGTTTCAGCAGGACGGGGTCCCATGTCACACAGCGAACGAAACCATGGAGTTTTTGCAGCGAAATTCCCTGGATGCGTTGTGTCAAAAAGGGCCATATCGACTGGCCGGCGCGTTCGCCGGACTTGACCCCGCCGGATTTCTTTTTGTGGGGTATACATAAGCAAGCTCTAGACCATCACAGATCTCAAGGAGATTATTCGCACCGAAATGGCCAATATATCGGCCGATA